CAGGCGCCCAACTGAGCCACCCAGGCGCCCTCTCACTTCTTTTTAAAGTGCTGTGGCCCAGAATAGCAGGACCCAGCAGTGGGACCTCTCACCACTGCCTCACCCCCGCCATCTAGACTCTGGCTTATTTCCATCCTAACACCAGAGCATGCGTCGCTTTCACCACACACCGCACCCTCACCTTACCCTGTACCTGGAATCAAATCTGGGCTTCAACCTTTCTGAGCCTCCACTTTCCTCTGGAGTAAATGGGAGCCGTTTCCCTGGAGTCTGCTGAGAAGAATAAATGAGATAGTTCACATAAGACCATGGGCATGGCACCTGGCCTGCAGTCAGACCTCCACAAATGTCATTGCCATTGGCATCATATGCTGGGACGGAGACAGTGGCCAAGAGCCAGCCCCAGTCCTCAGCAAACTCACAGCCTGGGGTGAGGACGGGGAGCGAGGGGGGGGGGGACACAGATAAATGGTAGGTGAGATTGATTACACTAGTGATGGAGACACAGGTGGGCTGGGCCACCTGGCCTGAGGTGGTCCTGGAGGACTTCTAGGAGGAGGTGATAAGTCAGATAAGTTTTAAGCCTGAGAAGAGTTAGCCCAGTGCAGGAAGAGGCAGGGAAGGCAGTCCTGGCAGTCGGTGTGCAAGCATGCTGCACTTGGGGTAGAGATGGGGAGTAGTACAAGTCATTCACTGGGTGACATGGGGCTTGAAGGTCAGGGACAGCAGATCAAGGTTTCAGATCAGCTGCCTTGGCTGCGGGGTGAAAGGACCTTGCAGGAGGGTGTCTGGAGGCCAGTGAAGAAGCAGTTACAGGCCCAGGCTCACCACTACAGCCTCAATGGGGCTTTTCGGGGCCAGACCGTTTCTCTCCTCCCGCTTTTGCCCTTGCCGTTTCCGCTGCGCGTCTTGCCTTTCCCATGGCTGAGCTTATGGGTATGGACAGATGGGGGCCACGGCCTACTAACGGTTGTGCTCTCCCACAGGTCCGAGGAGGAGCGGTGGGGAGCGGTGGCCAGCATGCACAGGGGTATCGCGTGCTCCGGACTTCCCCCGTGCCGCCCCTGAGTCCCGCCCGGAGTTGGAACCCGGGGCCCGCCCGCGCGGCCGCACCATGAGCCACGGGCCCAGCCCCCGGCTGGCCGAGTCCCCGCAGCTGTCCAAGGGCAGCCTCCTGACCATCCTGGGCAGCCCGTCGCCGGAGCGCATGGGGC